AGCTATGGATGCAGAAATGGCTTCCTGGAAGTCCACAGGCACCTACGTTAACGCGGTTCCCCCTCCTGGGGCGAACATCGTCAGTGGCATGTGGATCTTCAGGGTGAAGCGGCCGCCGGGCTCTCCACCTGTCTTCAAGGCACGGTACGTTGCTCGTGGCTTCAGTCAGCGGCAGGGAGTTGACTACTTTCAGACCTTCTCTCCCACCCCGAAGATGACCACTCTTCGGGTGCTGCTGCACATAGCCGCTCAGCGCGACTACGAGCTTCACTCTCTCGACTTCAGCACTGCGTTCCTGCAGGGTAGCCTGCACGAGGAGATCTGGCTGCGCCGTCCACCTGGCTTCACTGGGACTTTCCCTCCTGGCACCCAGTGGAGCCTCCGACGGCCAGTCTACGGTCTCCGCCAGGCACCGCGTGAGTGGCACGACACACTGAGGACTACGCTTGCGGCTCTTGGGTTTGCTCCTTCTACTGCTGACCCGTCGCTGTTTCTGCGCACCGACACTTCACTGCCGCCGTTCTACATCCTCGTGTACGTCGACGACTTGGTCTTTGCCACAGCGGACACTGCTGGACTCGCCTACGTGAAGTCCGAACTGCTGAAGAGACACACGTGCACAGACCTGGGTGAACTGCGCAGCTACCTTGGCTTGCAGATCACTCGGGACAGAGCACGCCGCACCATTACCTTGACTCAGTCACACATGGTGCAGCAGGTCCTTCAGCGCTTTGGCTTCACGTACTCCTCGCCTCAGGCCACTCCTCTGCCTACTCGCCACTCACTCTCAGCTCTGCCTTCGGATGAGTCCGTAGAGTCGAGTGGTCCGTATGCAGAGCTTGTTGGCTGCCTCATGTACCTGATGACCTGCACACGACCTGACCTTGCATACCCTCTGAGCATTCTTGCACGCTATGTTGCTCCTGGGAGACACAGACCAGAGCACATGGCTGCAGCGAAGAGGGTATTGCGCTACCTGTGCAGTACGTCGGGCATGGGGCTAGTGCTTGGAGGGCGGAGTCCAGTGGTCCTTACCGGCCACGCGGACGCTTCTTGGGCTGACGACCAGGCTACGCAGCGGTCGTCACAGGGTTACACCTTCAGCCTTGGTTCCGGCTCTGTCTCGTGGCGGTCTACTCGCTCGTCTTCTGTTCTCGGCTCCAGTTGTGAGGCTGAGATCTACGCCGGGGCCATGGCTGCACAGGAGCTTCGCTGGCTCACCTACCTGCTGACTGACCTTGGAGAGCCACCTCGTTCTCCTCCAGTGCTGTACGTAGACAACAAGGCCATGCTGGCCTTGTGTCGAGAGCAGCGCTTGGAGCACAGAACGAAGCACATTGCTCTCCGCTACTTCCTTGCTCGTGAGCTGCAGCAGCGTGGTCAGTTGCGACTTGCGTACGTGGCCTCTGAGGCCAACACTGCTGATGTGTTCACCAAGGCACTCGCGCCTTGTGACCATCAGCGCTTTTGCACCCAGCTGGGTCTTGTGCCTGTCTTGCCTCACTTGCTCTCCTCTTGACTTCACTTGTACTGTGACATATATATATACCTGCTCTTGCTTGTCTAGTTTTATATATATGTCTGTACTCCTGCATGTGAACTGGCCTCTGGCCCTGCTCTTGTGCTCGGACTGTGTGGTGACTTTGTGATCCACCCTGAGCTTGCTTTGCTTTGCTTGACTGGTCTTGTGACCCCTTGTTCTCCCCCACTTTGCCTATGGGGGTGTGTCAAACATTATATATGTTCTGCTTGTGTAGGCTACAGTGGGTTAGCCTATAGGGGGTACACAATTCTAGGGTTTCCTACTTGTACTCATTTCACTGCTAGTTCATTCATTCCTGTTCGCTTATTCTCACACCGACGTGACAGTATGGACAGACCACCGCTCGCTACAGTACCTTCGCGCCCAACCGAATCTCAACCCACGACAGATTCGCTGGTTGGACTATCTCGAGTCCAATTTTCACTACACCGTTACGTACAAAAAAGGCGCATCCAACATCGCCGACGCTCTCACCCGCCCCACCGCCCAACTCCACGCCATCCTACTCGCCCAGACCAACCCGCTTTTAACTGGCCTATTCACCCACGGATACCGCACCGACCCATTTTTCACGAATGGAAATTCACAGCAACTGGTAGAAGCAAAAGGAGTTTATTACGTAAAAACAGGCACCAACCGCATTTGGGTACCCGCGTACTCACTACTGAGGGAGCTGCTACTGCAGGAGGCACACGACGGGATTACCTCGGGACATTTCGTGGTAGAAAAAACGCGACAGCAACTGCAGCGGTATTCTTACTGGCCGGAGCTGTTGACCTACGTACAGCAGCACGTGGGCTCGTGCCCTACGTGTCAGGTGATGAAGAGTTCAAGGAAGCGGAAGGCGGGTCAATTGCAGCCGATCCCACCGCCCGAACGCGCCTGGCAGCAAGTAACCATGGACTTCGTCACAGGGTTACCTTCGAACCCTGGGGGTAACGACGCGGTGATGGTCGTCGTGGATAGGCTGACGAAGATGGCACACTTCGCTGCGTGCAAAAAGTCGATCTCAGCCGAGGAGACCGCTCGCTTGTTCATCGCAGCCGTTGTTCGCCTGCACGGGATACCAGCAGCAATTATCAGCGACAGGGACACGAAGTTTACCAGCAATTTCTGGAAGAACCTCTGGGAGCAGTTCGGGACCAGGCTACAGTTCAGTTCCTCGTACCACCTCGAGACCGACGGCCAAACGGAGCGGACGAATCAGACGATGGAGCAGTTGATTCGTGCCACGTGTGACGACCCCACGACCTGGGAGCAGCAGCTACCGCTGATCGAGTTCGCGTACAACAACGCCACATCAGCCACGACGCAGCAGTCCCCGTTCTATCTGAACTATGGGCAAAACCCCACAGTGCCCATGACGCCGAGTCCAGACAACCCCACGCCACGTGCACAACAATTCGCCGAAATCCTGCAAGCTGCCCGCGCCAGAGCCGCCGAAGCAATAAAAAAGGCCAACGTCATCGCTAAGTGCAACGCTGATCGCCACCGCCGCCCCGTCTCGTATCAATCTGGAGATTACGTGCTACTCGATACGCAAAATCTGCGACTGCCCGACGTACCAAAATTACGACCGCGCTACTGTGGACCATTCCAAATCAGTCACATGATCACACCCGTCACCGCACACCTACTGTTGCCAACCGACTGGTACATCGGCCCTTCGTTCCACGTCAGCCTACTTCGCCCATACATCCCGACCACAAGTCAACTGCCGCGTCACCGGCCACAATCAATGACTCGCCCTGCATCAGAGCCGATCATCGAGCCCGAAAAAATTCTGAGCCATCGGATCCGCCACCCCACGGGAATCAGGAGGATTGAATTCCTCGTTCGCTGGAAAGACCGCACGCCAACTGAAGATAGCTGGGTGCCCCTGAACAACATCGAAAATCACCCTGCCCTGCAAGTGTACCTGAGGAGCCGGGGATTCCGCGATATACACGCACTCGCGTAGCGGAGGGGGCTTCTTAAGGGGGGGGGTAGTGTAAGGAATTTTCTCGGCATTCCTTACGGAGCCGCCTACATCGCGTACAGCAACAGCCGATTGTTCGCCCGTTACTGCTAACGGAACTTCGCCGACTTCGCGCGCACTGTTTTGCCAAACCTCGCACTGCTGGCATGGCCGTATCGGCCTACGCTTCGGGACTAGCCCGAGCCTCGCTCCAGCGTAGCACTAGCAAGCTCGCACGCACCGCGTTACCGTTTTGCATGTTTCGCGTATAAATGTTCGCTCATGCCTTCGCTCACATTTTGTACTCGTTTGACACCTTAGTGCAATTCTCGCTACCTCGATTCATTGCACCCGTAACAATTAGTAACTACATTGCATTCATGTATATATGGAGGCACAGCTACTTTCTGTTAGACTGCACAATAATCGTTTTGTCACCAAATCTTGTTTTTTTTTTCATCATGTCATCTTGGCTGAAATAAGGAATCAAAATATTTATTATATTATCATCTCACGCATTGTTGCATGCTATCTATGACATTGCATCGCAGGCCTTACTTAGAATAGGTTTTCGTGATAGGCGTTTAGGTGGTGAGTACCTATCGTGAGTGTATGGGAGGTGTGTTTGTGGTCCTCTGATAATAATGAATGGCTGTTCCTGTGGCATCGAATCCATGTCCACGTCAAACTGTAGGCTGGATGCTCTTTACACGTGGACCAGGTTGTGTGAAGCATCCTCATCTAATCCAGCGGCTCTTACGTCATCGGGAGTCACGAGCTTCCCCTCCGAAACTGCCGAGGGGTCACCTCATCTCGTCGCCCTGGAATTCTGACTCGGATTGACTGATCTGGTGTGGCACGGGATTCCGCATGACATTCTGGCGAAGGGGAGAAACAACTGCTCTCTGTAACTTCGCAGCGCGTTTCTGACACATCTCAGTAGTTCGCACAGTTTCGTCATTGTCGCTTCTTGGCCTGACTGTCACATCCATTCTTTCGCAACAGCAGATCCATCTCTCAAACTCTCACAATGCAAAAAAGTCGGATGGTTACAAAGTTACTAGCCCCTGTCCCAACAGCCGGGCTTTATTTTCCCCATCTCCAACGTGTGGCCATGGATGATGAAATTATCACGGTTCAGCCTAACAGGTCGGAACAGCTTGTTTAGCAGCTTGTTCAGCTGTTTGCGTCGTCTCTTACTAGCCCTGGACTGGAGCATTCCGCTTCGAGACTTTTCTAGTCCCGTCCTGCCCCGGGTGTGGCATAATGCTTTTATGAACGCCCATCTCGATCACGCTTCTCCTGGCAAAGAACGCATTTTGTTTCACTAGCTCAACCAACGTCCGGTTTACCTGTAAACCAGCTTCTCTACCTAGTCTCGTGTCGCCCTATTTGAAATCACAGTCCGCCAGCAGCATCATCTAGACGACCAGGCCACAGGATGGGTTGGGGAGGCATTACCTGGGCTATCCCTCGGCCCAACGCGCAATCACTGCTTTCATGGGGTCACATCGACCTTCCCTGGTCCCCCAGCCCTCACACTCTCTCCGTCCCCATCCTCCCTACTCTCCTCCTCCTCCTACTCGGGTTTATCCCAGCCATATCTCTCCTCTTCTTTTCCACGTCATCCTCCAGTCGTAAGCGAAAGGGTGCGAAAGCCGGCGAGGGCGAGGCGAAACTGGTAACCGGATCGTCCGCGATCTGGTCGTCCACCTGGGTGCTGTGGCTTCGCGGAAAGTTCCCTCCAGGTCCCTGGGGTTTGCCGTTCTTCGGCAGTCTGCCTGACATCCTCCGCGATGGCGATCCGCACCGTCGGATCACGGATCTCGCGGAGATCTACGGTCCAGTAATGGGGATGCGTCTCGGCCGAACCCCAACGGTCGTCCTCTCCTCTCCAGCCGCAGCGCGCCAGGTTTTGCGGGATGCTGACATGGCATGCGCATCGCGGCCGGCGGCGATCACGTCCGCGTTATTAACTCACGGACCGCGCGATCTCGTGTTCGCGCCGTACGGGCCGCCTTTCGTGCATCGACGGAAGCTCGCGACGAGCCACCTATTCACGGCGGAGCGCATCGCGGCTTGGCGCGGAGTGCGGGCGGACGAGGCGGAGGGGATGGTGGCTGCGGTGGTCGATGAGATCGCTGCGGCGGAAAAAGCGGCGGGGGAAGCGGAGGGTTCCGCGTGGGCGGAAGTCGAGATCCGCCCGCATCTAGCGCGGGTGTCTCTGAACAATATTCTCCGCATGAGCTGCGGGCGGCGGTACCAGTTCAGCCGCCCGGGAAAGCCGGACGCTCTCGCAGACGAGGTTAACTCCGTGATCTTTAAGATCGCGGGGCTCCTAGGGCCGTTCAACTACGTCGACCACGTGGCGGAATGGGATTGGTTCGACAAGTGGACCGGCGGGCTGACAGGCAAGTGCCGCGTACTTGCGCCGAAGCTTCAGAAATTCTTCCGGGGAGTGCTGGACGACCACCGCAGGATGCGGAGAGAGGAGGAGGGGAAGCGCGCGAAAGAGGCGGAAGCGGCGGCAGCGGAAGCGGCGGCGGCGGCGGCGGCGGAAGGGGAGGGGGAGGGGACGGAAGGGACGGGTAGCGAGGGTGAGCAGAGGCGCGGGGTGATGGAAGATGCTTCCACGTTCGCACCTTTAGAGAATCCGGAAGATCCGGAGAGGGACTTTTTAGATGTGCTTCTGATGCTGCAGAAACAGCAGCAGCAACAACAAGAGCAGCAGCAGCAGCAGCAGCAGCAGCAGCAACAACAAGAGCAGCAGCAGCAGCAGCAGCAGCAGCAAAAGCAGATGAATGGCAGTGCCAGCGCTGATGCCAAGGAAGAATCTAAAGGTGTAAATGGTTCCGTGAACGGGGGTTCTGGGTTCGGGGTTGGTAAAACCCCTGTTGCTGCAGCGGTAGCGGCAGGAGCAGCGGCGGCGGCTGGGTCTGGCTTGGTGGTAGATGACGTGGAGATCACTTCGCTGCTACAGGATCTGCTTGTAGCGGGTACAGACACTGCAGCGGTTAGCACAGAGTGGGCTTTATCGGAACTAGTTAACCGGCCAGATGCAATGAAGCGGCTACAAGCGGAGATAGACGGCGCGCTAGAACAGTGGCACAGAGATCACGAATCGGATAAGATCAAATCGCAATCGGATCTCGAGGCGGCGTGGGAGCAGACGGGGGGCGAAGCGTTGCTCATGCGGTTACCCTATCTCCAGGCAGTCGTGAAAGAGATGCTTCGCATGCACCCTCCAGGCGCGTTCCTGATCGCCCATAGTACCACTGGCCCTGTAGATCTCTGTAGCGGCAGGTACAGGGTTCCTGCAGGGACTATGGTGCTAGTTAATGTGTGGTCTATTTCGCGCGACCCGAGCCTCTGGCCCGAGCCTGACAGGTTCGTGCCGGAGCGGTTCCTGCCCGGAGAAGTTTTCGAGCTGCCCGAGAGCGGAACAGGGGAGGGTGTGAAGCGGATAGTGGGGGAGGAGGTGGATATGAGAGGATTTGATTTCCGCCTGCTGCCGTTTGGTTCGGGCAGGCGAATGTGTGTCGGGCAGAGGCTCGGGCACCAGCTGGTTACCATCATGCTGGGTCGGCTCGTGCACGCCTTCAACTGGGAAGCGCCTGTTACAGGCTCTTATAAGAGTGACTGTAACGGGAGTGGATATAACGGGGGAGATTGTAACAAGGTGGATTTGAAGGAGAGGTATGGGCTTGCAATGAGGATGGTGCAACCTCTGAAGGCCCGTGCATCACTGCGAGTGGGAGAGGATGGGAGACGGGCGATTGAAGCGTGGGGAGTGGGGAAGAGGGGAAGCAGGAAGTAGGATTCGATTGGATGAGTTTAGAGCGGTTGTCTGCGGTGGAGAGCTACGGGTTGGCGATGAGGATGGTGCAGCCTTTGAAGGCCCGTGCTTCCCTGCGAGTGGGAGGGGATGACAGGCGGGCGATTGAAGCATAGGGAGTGGGAAAGAGGGGGAGCAGGAAGTAGGGCTTTTAGGCCACTGGTTGGTTGAAGAGCAGGGTTTGTTGTTGCATTGGATGGGTTGAGGGCGGTGATGCGTGGTGGAGATGTCTGTGGCTGCCCAAGAGGATGGTGCGCCCCTCGAGGCCTGTGAGTCGCTGTCAGTGGGAGGGGATGGCAGGCAGGCAATTGAAGCATGGGGAATGGGAAAGAGGGGGAGCAGGAAGTAGGGCTCAAGCCACTGGTGGAGTCGTGTGGATGGAGTGGGACTGGATGGGTTGGGAGCGGTGATGCCTGGTGGAGAGGAGCGAGCTGGCCACGCTGTGAGTGGAAGGGGGTTCAGCCTGCAGGCTGGCTGTTCAGTAAAAAGCGTGGGAAGAAGATGGTGCGGAGGTGCAGGGGCATGCAGGAAGCTGAAAAAAGTCTTGGGCTGCTTGTTGGATGATTGCAATGTTAACTGAAAAAAGTCTGAATGATTATCAGCATGTGCGTGGCTGCGTGTGTAGGAGGGGTTGGAAGGAAGGGCGGTGGGTGGGGGCCTAGGGCCACAAGCTGTGGGCTCTAGCAGAGGCTGGGCTGGAGTAGAGGTTGGTCTTCCCTGGCTGTGGGTTATGGCATCGAAACATGCCCTGGTGTCTCAGGCTAGCTGGGAAGGGAAACTGTAGGGGTTCATTATAGAAGCTGCTACTTACGTACAAGTTACACAATTTTTCTAGCCCCAGAAACAATAATCCTCTGGACAAAACGTTATTTATTACGGCATATCTGCAACAAGCTCCTCCATTCTAATTTCCAAGCTCCTTGGGGGTCAAGGAGTGGATGGAAGCTCTTTACCTTGGTACCAAAATATCTGGTAGCCCCTTTGCACTACATTGGCCTCTACAGGTTATGTTCTGTATTGGTGGTACCAGATACGGTACCAGATACGTTACCAGATGTTGGGAACAAATAAGTTAAGCGCCTCTGTCGTGTCAGTACTCAAGACACAAAACGAAGCAGCTCAAGTCGAAACAGCGCGAGTCAACCAACGAGGTTAACGTAACCGTCGGAGGTTACGGGAAAGTCAAAGGGCAGCGACCTTTGACCTGACGCAGCGCGACAGCAAGGACAAACAACTGACTCGACATTGAGCAGTTGCCCGAGTCGCACTGTATCGAACCGCAACAGTAAAATTAGTTATAATGTCTCTTCATATCCTTTGTACTCATCTATTTATATTCTTGTATTTCTTTGCTTTTATCAACTTACTTTGCCCTCACATACTAGCGCAAGGTGGTTCAAGAGCTTTATTCAACGTTTCCGCTATTACAACATCTACTCAGACTTTAACTCTACAAAGATCCTAGGGCGTTTCAGCCCAACATGGTATGAGAGCAGTTAGAGTTAAAATTCATTATTCAACACTCAGTACATCAAAAGAAGACATGTCTGCTAGAAAGGAGAGGAGCTCCTCCAACGGCTCTCCCGGTACTACCCCTACTCCACCACCTGCCTCTGGCCTACTGACAGAGGAGGGGACAACGACGAGACCAGCAGCTGGGTCTACGGAAACACCCGCAAACCAAGGCGCGGGCTTCGATCCAAGCATGATGGAGAAAATTTTCTCCTTCATGTCCTTCTACGAGCAGCACCAGCAAGGAGCACCTGCGCAATCAAACAACAGCAACAACAACAACAACGTGACGCCTACGAGTCTCGATGGCTCATCCTACGCGCGCGGGAATCAACATCAACAACCCACCTTTGCTCCGTACGAGCCCCAGCGTGGCTCCGTCAGCTTTATGCCGCAACCACAACCTGCACCGGGACAAGAGAGAGCACTGGACGCATTACAAGTTCAGTCGCAATTCGGGCACGTTTTAAAGCTGCAAACGACAAAGCCCTTTGACGGAAAAGACTTCTTCACCTGGTTTTTCGAATTCGAGCTGATGATGGAAGGAGCGCAAATCCTTGGCTTCTTCGACGGGTCCCTGCCATATCCAACAAACGGCACACAGTATGAGAAGCAGCAGCATACTTATCAATCAATGATGTACTATTGAGGAACATTACCCCGGCCCAACAGCAGAACATCAGGCCTTACCGAGGCTACGGCAACTCCGCGGAGCTCGCGTACAACCACCTGAAGAACCTGTATCAAGCAACAGACAGTGTAAACCAAAGCCGGTTAATGGCGCAGCTAACAACAATCGAAATGAAGCCAGGCGAAAAAGGCATGGAGTATATCAGTCGCTGCCGCGAGCTGCGCGACAGGCTCCTTCGATGTGGAGGTTCAATTTCAGAAGACGCCTTCGTCACGGTCGTCATCGGCGGTCTCGGCCCTCACTAGCGCTCCACTCGCGCCATATTACGAGCACACAGAAGAATCTCCGAAGCGGCACTCTGTGTCAGAATATTATAGCTTACTTATGTGTGTAGGCTATAGTGGGGTATCCCATAGGGGGTACAACCCAACTAGGGTTTCCTATTTGTACTCACTTCGTTCATAGTCATTTCATTCTCGTTCTAACTTTCTCATGGTATCGAGCAGGTTCCCCCGTGGGAACTGTGCTTAGGGCCCACCACATCGAATTTTTTTTTCTGCCCGGAGCGCGCTCCGGGCCCTTGCTCTCCCTTTTTTTTTTTCGATTTGCCCTACGGCCCGAGCGCCGCCTTAGCGCGCCGCCCGCCCTAGCAGCCCGAGCGCCGCCTTAGCGCCCGCGCCCCGCTGCCCGCCCTCGCGCCCTAGCGCCCTAGCGCCCGCGCGCTGCCCGCCCTTGCGCCCTAGCGCTCTCCCGACCCGCTGCCCGCCCTAGCGCCTTCCCGCCCTAGCGCCCGCACGCTGCCCAGAGCCGCCCGTGCGCCACCCAGGGCCGCCCGTGAGCTAGCCGCCCGACGCGCCAGCCGCCCGACGCCCGCTAGCCGCCCGACGCCCGCTAGCCGCCCGACGCCCGCTAGCCGCCCGGCGCCCACTAGCCGCCTGTCGCCTGCGCGCCGCCTGACGCCCGCTAGCCGCCCGTGGGCTGCCCGCGCGTCGCCCTTAGCAGCCCGACGCGCCGCCCGTGCAGCCGCCCGTACAGCCGTCCGTGCAGCCGCCCGTGAACCGCCCGTGCAGCCGCCCGTGCAACCGCTCGTGCTGCCGCCCGACGCGCCACCCGTGCAGCCGCCCGTGAGCCGTCCGTGCGCCGCCCGTGCAACCGCCCGTGCAGCGGCCCGTGCAGCCGTCCGTGCAGCAACTCCACGAGCCGCCCGTGCGCCGCCCCAGCCGCCCGTGCAGCCGCCCGCGAGCTGCCCGTGAGCCGCCCGCCACGACGCCCACGCCGCCCGTGAGCCCCAGCGTCACCCGAGCCGCACGAGCCGCCCGAGCAGCAGAGCCGCCCGCGCCGCCCGTGCTGCTGCGTGCCCGAGCCGCCCTAGCCGCCCGAGCCGCCCGAGCCGCCCGAGCCGCCCGAGCCGCCCGAGCCGCCCGAGCCGTCTGAGGTGCCGAGCTCCTGCTCCTGTGGAGCTGCTACTGATCCTGGGCCACTCAGCGTTGGTGTGCTGCTGTGTTGCTGTGCTGCTGAGCGACCCGACCCTTCCTGTCCGGTGAGACTGTCAGCTGCTATCATGGCCACCCCTAGTGTCCTGGCTTTTGACGCTGAGGGTCGCGCCATTGACTTTGCGGTCTGGGTCGAGGACCTGCAGCTGTACTTGCTCTGCGATACAGTAGATGAAGTTTCTCTCTTTGACTTTGTCTCTGGCGCTGTACCTGCCCCTCTTGCTGATGCTGACCCCACTGTGCGCTCCAAGTAGGCCTCACGCGATGCTGCTGCACGTCTTGCTGTGCGTCGCCACCTCCCTTCCTCCGAGCGCGCCCACTTTAGTCAGTGCAAGACCGCTCAGGCCTTGTACGACGCTGTAGTTGCGCGCTACTCCTCCCCTTCCTCTGCTACACTGAGCCGCCTCATGCTACCGTACCTCTTCCCTGACCTTGCTGCCTTTCCTACAGTCGCTGACCTCTTTACCCACCTTCGCGCTAGTGACACTCGCTACCGAGCTGCGCTTCCTGCTGCCTTCTGCGCCGAAAACCCCCCTCCCATGTACATCACCCTCTACTTTCTAGTCACCCGTCTCCCTGAGTCCCTTCGTGCTGTTAGGGACCACTTTCTCTCTGTCTGTCCCACCACCCTCACTGTCGACCTCCTCGAGAAGTCCCTGCTACCGGCCGAGAAGAGCATCGTCGCTATAGGGGCCTCTCGTGGTGACCCCCGCACCCCCATCTTTGAGGGGTGTTCTCCTTCCCCCCTGTTACCCTCTGTCGCCTCTGCTGCTGCGGCCGACCTCGTTGGTCTAGAGTCGGTCGGTGCGGCGTCTGCCCCCAGTGGTAGACGCCGCTCTGGCAAGGGCAAGGGGGGCAAGGGAGCGGGTGGAGCTAGCGGGGGCGGTAGCGGAGGAGGTGGGGGCGGCGGGGGGAGTGGGGGTGGCGGTGGAGGTGGTGGCGGGGGACTTGTCTTACCTGCCCCGAAGCTGACTTACCACATCGACCGTTCGCTCCTCATCACAACCCGAGCGCACCGGCGTACGCACCACTCGAGAAGGTGTACAGCGACATCCTCTACAATCGCAAACCAGGACAAGTCACCTACAACTATACGATTACCTTCATCGACGCCGCCACTCGATATGTCTGGCATCTAAACCTACCAAGCCGCGACATGGCACTCGCAGCGTTCGCCGCCTGGCTACCAGTAGCAGAACGAGAGTCGGGAGCACAGCTGAAAAGCTTCCAGTCAGACGGAGGAGGAGAATACACCTCTCAGCGCTTCAAGCAGTACCTGGCGGAAAGAGGAATCAAGCAACTCCTCTCCCTTCCCTACGCCCATCAGCAGCAAGGTGTCGCAGAAC